TCTATTCTCATTTGCAAAAGCGAATGTGGAAACGAGTGACAGGTGTGTTTACACATTTACATATATTAGCCCATCTGTCTCGCATTCATGTATTCTGGTTCACATGTATACATATTGCACTCACAAATACCGAGAAAGTTTGCTTGGTGCGCACTGCAGCAATTCGAATTCTGTTTGGCACAAATGGTTTTCAAAAGTTTCGCCCGCTAGGTTTACCTCGTTTGGTTTTGGTGAGTTGGCTCACCTGTTCACCTGCGATATATATGTATATATATATACATACAGAAAAACACATATTTCTTTTTTGTATCCTCAGCTTCCTGGCATTACTCCAGGATTGCCAATACAGAGACAGAGGGGCCACTGCCCTGGAGTTCGGCAAATAGTGGAGTTTGAAAATGGATCTTTCGGGAGGGGAATAAAAAGAGGTGGAGTCGTTTGCTCGCCTCCCGTTTTTCTCGGGTCAAATGAAAACAGAGATGGAAAGATATCACACAGGGGTTTTGGCCCTACTTTTTTTTTTTTTATTGTAAATTCCGTTCAATTCCATTTTCCTCATCAATGAACGAAAATGAAATTAAAAAAAAAAAAAATTATCCTAATATATAGAAAAGTATTTTGCCATTTTCAAGGGTGAATTGATGTACTATAGAGATAAAATCTTTGACCTAAAAAATTATTTATGAAATGCATTTGGCTCTCTATCAAAATGTTCTTCTAAATTGCAATATTTTTCACACATTTCTCATATATAGGGGTAAAAATGTTTTAACATTTTTAAATGATTGGGTCTTGAAAATTTCATCCTTTGCAAAAAAAAATATTTATAAATTTCTTCTAATATATTGAAACAATTTTAACATAACTCTGAAAATCGATGTTCACGATGAGCAGTTGATGAGCTTTAATCAAAGTTTGACGTGACCTGCAAAATTTCGAGAATGAAGCTTTATAACTAAGCTCTTATGAAGTAGGAAAAGCCGTTTCAAGCTACAAAATACTAAACTGACATGTCATGACAGTGAAAAGCAAATCACTTTTGATATTTTCATATAGCCTAGTTTTTTTTTTTTTTTTTAAAGAAATATCGTGTCGTAAAATATAGAATAGTTTTTTAGCTCCTCTGATGGATAGAGAGTGACATAATTTTTCTCCTGATTTTCAGAACACACTGGAAAAAGAATATATATGTGAACTTGATAAAACGTGTATTGAGGCTTGTCTATTGGTGTTATAATTGACTTTCTCAAATGACACTTTGTCGATAAAGAGAGAAACTTTCAAGATTTTTATTTTATAAACTCGAAAACTAATTAGGTTCATAAAGTATAGGAAACTGTCGTTCAACTCTTATCTTTCAAATATCACACACATATTTATAATATTATTAATATTGCCTTTGCCCGTATATACATATTTTGAAGCATCATTAAATATATTTAGCACAGGAAATTATCATCCTTATTTCTCGAAATTAATTTCTAAATTTACTAAATGAATGGAGAAATATATTTCAATGTTGAGTTTATACATATTCGTTTTTCCGAAAAAGAAGATCGTGATTCGAATTTTAAGAGCAGTAAATTGAGTTTTCGCTCGAAGGAGACCTTTAAAATAGAAGTGAGTGTTTCCATTAAATGGAAGAGCTTGAACCCGCTAGTGTAGTTGAATTATCCACTTTCCGAAAACCGCTATAGCCTCAAACCTCATAAAATCGGATGCAGGTAGACGTCTAGCCAACAATAAAGTGAAATGAGAAAGTAGGTACTGAAAATTCACTAACAATATAAGTTCCATGTCAAATCTTCCAAAAGGGTACAAATCGAGACGAATTGGAAAAAAAGCTGACTGAAAAAATACTAAAAAATAATCAAATTGACTAGAAAAAAGAAACAGTTTGGCAAAAAAGAATTTTAACCAACTTTTAGAGGCAGTCAAAATGTGTATATGAATATTTACAAATGAATGTAACTCCAAAACTTTTAAGGTCCTTCATATTTTATTAGACATTTTATAAAGTATAAGAACGTAAAATGAAATTACCTTGGGAAATGTATAATTTTGCAATGTTATAAAATTAAATTGTAGATGAAATGAAAGAGCAGTTTTGCAATTTATAAATAACAGTTCATGAAAATAAATTGTGAAAATTTAATATACATATTTTCATATATGAAAAGAGGATATATAAATTAACATTTAATAACCGCATGTTGAATATAATAACAGGATTGTTTTTGTTATGCAAACTTTCTCAACAACAAACTCGCGCGCATGTGTCATATACATATATTGGTATGTCATTCCTAAGAGTTTATATTTAATATTCAGTTTGGACAGCATACATGAAGACAAAGGAAAAGTAAACACGAATTTATTATTATAAACACCGTCCGACACAATTTTTGACACACAAAAAAAAATTTAACTTTTTCGGAAACTAGGACCCAAAAAAAAATATCCGTGTCTGACCGTTTTGCTAGATCAAGTCGTTTTTGGTTTTTAGGGGTGAAAACTATTCCTAAATGAAAAGTGACAAGATATCTTTTAAAAATTATTAATATTTTATAAAACTTGGTATCTGGGGGTTTTCGGGGTCACTGATTATTAATCTGATGTCAGATTTTCAAAATTCAAAATGGCGGATCCAATATGTCGATCAAATTTTTAAAAAGTTATAAATTTTTTATTTTATATCCACCATTTTGAATTTTGAAAATTTAGTATCAGATTCGTCATCAGCGACCCAAAAAACCCCTAGATACCAAGGTTTAAAAAAAATTTAATAACTTTTTAAAATTTTGACCGCCATATTGAATCCGCCATTTTGAATTTTGAAAATCTGACATCAGATTAATATACAGAAAATTAAAAGGCCTTAAAATAAGCTGCAACGCTTATTTTAATGTCTTTCAATTTTCTGTGTAATCAGCGACCCTGAAAACCCCCAGATACCGAGTTTTATAAAATATTAATAATTTTTAAAAGATATCCAGACACGGGTACTTTTTTTTGGGTCCTAGTTTCCGAAAATGTTAAATTTTTTTGTGGGTCAAAAAAAAAGTTGAATTTTGTCAAACGGTGTAACAAAAAATAAAAAAGAATTTAAAAAAACTAATTTTATATATCTATTTTAGGTTAAAGCATATTGAATCGCGTGGATTTAAGTGAATGCCATGTCGGCTTGTCTTTTTTATATTTTCTCCTCTTTATTAGACTACACGCCAACACTCTTTTTCCAACTTGTATCACGCGGACTAGCTTCTTCCTCACTTCTTCTTCTTCTTCTTTTTAAATCAACCCTCTGGTGGTTTTCTAACTTTATATAGAAGATTTTTCGAGCACGTCAAAGCCAAGCGTAAAATATAAAAGATGAAATACACGAATCGACCAGAAGAGAGAGAGACTTTTGCGCAGTCAAGTTTTGTGAGTCTTTCCACCCACAAGAGTAATGCGATCATCATGAATGTTTTAATTGCAAAGAATTATATTCCGTTTCTGCTTTTCCGAATAGTGTTTTAATTCACATATATATATTATATATAGCAAAAGTGGTTTCACCTAGAAATTAAGCAAATATTTGGCACGCTAAATTTTGTCAAGTATAGTACTAAAACAGAAATATTATATAATTTTCATTCATTATATATAAGAATATGAAAATTGCATTTTCCTTTTTCTTTTGTTGCAAAAAATGAAAAATGTGTTATGACTTTTTTGCATCTGATGAATAAGTTTAACACTTCTAAATAAAGCAGCAACTTTACTACTATGCAAAAGAGTTTTTGTGGTAGAATTTGAAATTCTTTCAAAAAAAAATTCCTTTTTTTAATTAATTGAAAAAATTAAAATTAATTTATAAACTTTTAATTTTCATTTAATTCTGAATGTAGAAATTTCGGTCAATTGTGTTGTTCCATTATCAAGGAGTTTGGAAACTGTAGAAAACTCGTTCAAAAACGAATTATATAAATTAACATGCTCTCTAAATCAGTGTTTCTCTAATTGGATATATAATTTAAAGAGGATAAATGCATTAATTAAAATAAAAAATTCATTATTTTATTTAAATTTTCGATACGAAATTAGTTTCAAGTTTTGAAAATAGGTTTTTCAAAATTTATTTATTTTTATTAAATTATATTTCTATTTGTTTTTCTGTTCTCATGAAATTTTCATATATCTATCGATTTTTTAGCTATATCAATTTACACCGCACAATTGCAAATTCGTATTATTTATTTAAATTAGATTCTGTTATTTTAATATATCAAACACGACAATAAAGGAAAAGAAATAAGTTCAAAACAAAGATTTTTTTTATTAACTCATCAGAGTAGAAAAAATATGATGACGCCATTTTTTTATATATAGCAACAAAAGCTTCAAAATCTATTTCTTATTTGCAGGAGAAATTTTATTAAATGTAATGGAATATATACAGCTATTTTTAATCAGAAAGAAAAACTTAATAAGGCTCATCATTTTTTTTTTTTTCAAATTCCTCTTAAGTTGAAAAGAAAAAAATTCCCATTTTTTTCTATAGAAAAATATTCTTATTTTTTTATATAGAAAAAATATTCTTATTATTAAAATTTTCATTAGAGAAAAAAATAATATAAAAGAACTTTATAGAAGCGAAATACACTTCTTACGAGTTGAGAATATTTTTTAGGAATAATAAACGAGAAAATTAAAAAAAAAAATTTTTTTGAATTAAAATAAAATTCTAAAGAAGATTATGTATTATATATTAAAAAATACTAAGTAGTTTGTGTTTATTACAAATTGCATTGGAAAAAAGTAAAAAAAAAATATTATTTTAAAAATATTTTTTTGTATAGAAAAATACGATTTTTTTTAAAAATATAAAATCCTTTATTTTCGTGGGTGGAAAATATTGAAAGTGCTAAAATAATTGAATAAATAATAAACGAGAGGTGGGTTTTTTTTTTTTTTTTTTTAGAGTGAATTGATGCGTGTGTGTGTGTGTCTCTCACCTGATAGTCCATGTAATTTCCGTAACCCATGTGGTTGCAGGTGCAAGCGCAAGCTTGAATATGCCTCTGCATGTCGAGCTCAACATCCTCGCCACAAACTCCCCTTGTCGCCATCATCGTATCACCCATGCAATAACCTCCCGTGCAATACATTCTCGGATCACTTTGGTCCAGGTAGCCACCTCTTGTCTCATCGTAACCAAGTCTACTGGTGCACCTGGAATCCGCAGTGAATCCCACTCGAGATTGGTCCTCATATCCCAATCTGGACTGTGGTCTCTGTAATACATAGAAATATCCCCTTTAATATCTCAACAACTTTCTATTAAGTAATAATATCGATCCATCACTAACACACACACACACACTCAGACTATCAACTACAAATTCCTTTCCTAGTTCATATGAGACAAAACTTTTTTTTGATAAACATCATAAATCATTTTTCCAAGATAGGGATCATAACACATGTATAATCACTTTTAATCCAATTTTACGAGGGGGAGAAAAAAAAACAACCTTTCGAAAATATGTCAATTATATTTCATCTCTAAAATTCACATTCTAATTAGAAAATTAAAATCTATTTTTAATGAGCAATATATTGTAGAATATATATATATATACATTTATTGATCTCTTTCGGTTGACCTAAATCGATCAAATTCTAATCTGCTCTCCTTACAGACGAATGACCTCATAGCCTAGAAACATTCGAATTAAGGGGTTCTTTATCATTTCCGCTTTTCTCTCCTTTACGAAAGGATATTATACAAAAAAAACACATTTCCTGTGCGTGAAATATTGAAAATTAATACTAATACAATAAATTAAAGAAATTATATTATTATTTTGATTGAAATTTAATTGAATTACAATTCATTGCTATTTGCACGAAACCTTTCAATTCTATCATAAATTAGCATATTCCATTTTCTAGATTTGGAAAATCAGATTTTTAGTAATATACAATAATTTCATTGAATATATGGTTCGTTGCTTTTCAATTCTATTACATCTGTTCACACAGTTTCGAATTTTAAACATTCAGTGAACAACTGCAAAATAAAACTATTTTACCAAGATGTCACGTCTCTAACGTAACTTAAATCTTTGAATTCAGGTGTGTATACCAGTATTGCCGGAGCGACGATACCTCCTTAAACCTTAAAGAGAGTGTCGATGGAAAAGATCCTCTAAAGAGGATCGTGATGCTAAGATTCAATAAGACGTCTTCCTTTTCAATTCTGGTGAGTGTTTTGTTTTAGATTCTCTATTTTTACAAAAATATATATATATATACTCAAGTCAAAAAAAAAAAAAAAATTATAAAAAGTACTCAATATTAAAAAAATGGTTAAAATGGAAATAATTCTAAACGTTTAATTTAACGAAATAATTTTTTTAAACTATAATTTTTTTTTAAAATTACCACAATAAAAAAAAATTTTATTTGATTCAAATAATCGGTTACTTGACTGTTTTTAAATAAATATTTACTTGAACCAAATAATTTTTATTTGCTCTCTAAATCTGAATTAGTAAAAATGTTTACTAATTTAAATTAGTGACTCACTTTTTGCTTTAGAATTAGTAAAATTTTACTAATTGAGAAGCAAAAAGTAAGTCACTAATTCAAATTAGTAAACTTTTTTACTAATTCAGATTTAGAGTTAATTTTTAAATTAATTTACTAATTATTAGTAAAATTTAACTAATTCTAAAGCAAAAAGTGGGTCACTAATTTAAATTAGTAAACATTTTTACTAATTCAGATTTAGAGAGTGAATCAATAATTTCTCTATTTAAAACAAATACAATTTATTTTTGTATTTATTTCTTTTTTTACAATTGCCTTAAATACTAAGTATTCAATACAAATAAATATTTACTTCCCGAGTCGAAATTTTTCCCTCTTTTCACCCTCGATTTTCTCAGCCTCTCTTTTCAGCCTGAAATCATTATTTCCAAATCTGCATGTTTAGAGGTTGAAAAGAGGTCTTGGAATTTTTTCTTAATTTGAATTTTTCCAAGTTTTATTCCTCCTAAAAATTTTATAGTATTACGACAAAGACCAATAAATATATCTTCAATGGGGTCAATAAATAATGTCCATAAGAAAAAAAATCCAATTTTTACATTTTTTTAATTTTATTTTTTCGTTTTTTTTTTGTTTTAACCTCTTTTACGCCTCTCTAGTCATCTTTAAACCCTCCTTTCAGCCTCCAATATTGCAGATATTTCCACTTTTGCAAATTCGAGGTCGAAAGTGTTGGAGAGAATAAAAGGAGGATAAAAGGAGGTTTTTAGAGAACTTATAGAGAGTCTAAATTTCGACTCGGGTTGAATCAAATAATTTTTATTTGAATCAATAATTTCTCTATTTGAAACAAATACAATTTAATTGCGACTCAAATAATAATTAAATAAATATTTATTTGCTAATAGTCAAATAACAGATTATTTCTACAAATAAATTTTTTTAATCAGTTAAAAACAATAAAAAACCAAAAATAATATATTATTTTATTTATTTTTGGATATAGAAAGAAATATTTTATAATAAAATTCCAAGTTCGAACAGTTTTTTTTGTAAAATTTTAAACAGACAAAAATTTAATTAATTTTTACCAAATTAAAAAAGGGAATTTTAACATTTAAAATACTTGAAAAAGTTTAATTGATTATGCTCAACCCTTTGTGTAAGCGCAATTGAATTAAAGAGTCACTTTTCGAAATAGTTTAATTCAAAGCGTCAAGGGAGCAATTGATTTTTTCAAGTGTCCTCAAGACTTCAAAGGGGTGAAAAGTATCATCTAGTTAGACAACAATACAAATCAATTTTTTTTTTTTTTTTATATATTTTTCTTATAAGAATAGTTAATTTTATCACTATATTATTGTTAAATTATTATTAAATCAGTGCTTTTTAGATAAGATACGAGTTTATCTTGATAATAATACTATATTATATGTCAGTATAGCTAAAATTGTCAATCCAGTTAGTATTCAAGACAGGCTTAAGGATAGAAACCCCATGTTAGAAAAATGTGAGTTTTATGGGGTTTAATCCGCTTACACAAACCCCCCGAAAAAAAAAGAAAGTCAGTGTCATTATTTATATACTTAAGAAAAAATTTTTTTTAGAAACGAATTCTTTGAAACCTGCTTTGAATAACTATTGTCAACTATTATATATTGCAAATTTTTTCTATTGCACAAAAATTGAAATGATTTATCATAAAAAAAAAAATTTGTTGTTTCTATCCAGAGAAGAGTTTCTATTTCGTGAAAAAAGAGGAAATATTTGTCATCCTTAAACATTTGTTTTTAGAATCCCTTTGAAAATTCCTACGCAAAGAAGTAAAACCTCAAAAGCAATTTTTATAAATCGTTTATTTGAAGATTTTGTAAATATAAATGAATATGGAAAAAAATGAATGGAAAATTTTGAATATAGGTTAACTGACTCAGATGAACTATCTTTAATAGAATATGATTTAAAGATTATATATACTTTTATATATCAGATAACAGTTTAATGTGTTTAGCCATGTTATTCCAGATGAGTATTCACAGCTTGTGATATTTGAGCTGTGCGTAATGCATGCAATTTCTCGTCGTAATTACAGTAAAGGATCTTAGGATGGGTTAGCTCTTATTGCTAAACACCTAAGTAATTAGTCTCTGCACTTTAAGAACGCTCGGGGAGCTCGGCACTTTCAATAAGATTAGAGTTTGTAATTAAAACTTGTCACGTACGAAAATTATAAACAATTGGCGCACTATATAAATACGTCTTTATTCTTCAGTTAAATTTTATAATTAACATTACACAATGAAAAAAAAAAAAAAATTTAATATTTCAAAATGGAAAAAACTGTTTTTGTACTATTTACAAGAAAAAAAAAAATTTATTGTGTCAACAATTTTAATTCAAGAATAGTAAATTACAAAACCATTTTTTTTTACAAAAAATTTTCGCATATGTCAAAAAATTTTGTTTTATTTTAAGTTCGATTTGTGTATTTCCCAAAATCAGCTGTTTTGTGGAAGCTATTCTCTAAATCTGAATCAGTCATATTTTACTGATTAGCAGTAGGAATCTACTAATTGCCATAGCGAGAATTGAGCAACTGACAATTAGTAGAAATTTACTGATTCAATTAGTAAAATATCAATTACTGATTGCTCTCTAAATGTGAATTAGTAAAAATGCTTACTAATTTGAATTAGTGACTCACTTTTTGCTTCTAAATTAGTAGTAACTTTTACTAATAATTAGTAAAATTTAACTAATTCAAAAAGTGAGTCACAAATTTAAATTAGTAAATATTTTTACTAATTCCCATGTAGAGAGTGAATCAGTAATATAAATATATGGCGGCGGCTACAAAATCTACTGATTTAATAGTTAATTTTAAAGGTTATGTTATATACAAATTACTGATTTACATAAGTTATTTTCTATTGCTTGTATTCACTAATTATATTAGTAAATTTCAAAAAATAACTAAAACTCCAGTTAAAATGAAAAGTACTGATTGAATTAGTAAAATTTCTACTGATTCAGATTTAGAGAGAATATCATGTTATCTACAAACTGTGATTGTACTCTCTAAATCTGAATCAGTAGAAATTTTACTAATTCAATCAGTACTTTTTATTTTAACTGAAGTTTCAGTTATTTTTTTTAAATTTACTAATATAATTAGTGAATATGCAAGCAATAGAAAATAACTTATGAGCCTCCGGAAAGTAAAATAACACATAAAATTTGTCTGTACTTTTGAGTTGAACTCTGGTAACCTAAAAATTGATATTAAAAAAATGAATTTTATTTATTTCCAACCTAATTCCAATGACTTTGTAATAAATACAATTTATTTCTTGAAAATTGATTTTTTCTGTACTTGGGGAGCCAACTAAAAATTATTAAAAAATTTTATGTGTGGTTTTACTTTCCGGAGGCTCTTATGTAAATCAGTAATTTGTATATAAAACATAACCTTTAAAATTAACTATTAAATCAGTAGATTTTGTAGCCGCCGCCATATATTTATATTACTGATTCACTCTCTACATGGGAATTAGTAAAAATATTTACTAATTTAAATTTGTGACTCACTTTTTGAATTAGTTAAATTTTACTAATTATTAGTAAAAGTTACTAATAATTAATAAAATTTCACTAATTTAGAAGCAAAAAGTGAGTCACTAATTCAAATAAGTAAACATTTTTACTAATTCACATTTAGAGAGCAATCAGTAATTGATATTTTACTAATTGAATCAGTAAATTTCTACTAATTGTCAATTGCTCAATTCTCGCTATGTCAATTAGTAGATTTCCACTGCTAATCAGTAAAATATGACTGATTCAGATTTAGAGAGTTTTTTTCCAGTCGTACCAAATAATACCAATTATTATGAATTAATTTTTGTTGTTGTTTAGAAACCGATTTTGAAATAAAAAGGCTATATTTTTAATCACATTATATAATATAAACCGAGAAAGGGTTAAAAAGCTTCTTTTAATTGTAAAAGAACCATTATGTATATTTAAAATTCAAATTGAAGGCATAAATTTTCTTTCCTAAGAAAGATGTTACCTCTCCTGCTCTAGATATATATATATATATAAATTGTTGACTCAAGCGTTATAGTGACTAAAAAAAAAAAAAATTAAATTTTTGATATATAACAAGTTTTAATGCTAAAAGAGCGTAATTACATGTTTAATTCAATAAAAGGTCCCTTTTAATGGACCATAATTGAGTGGAAATTAAAAGCTTTCTGAGAGGACTTGATTAATCTAAAGCGAGGGAGGGAAAAGGGTCGCGTCCTCAGAAAAAAAAAAAAAAAAAATCGATTCATTTCTCCGAGACTTCTTTTTTAAGATTACTATCACGTTCTTCTTACCTGGGAATAGGAATCTTCCTGATAAGGCGTTCTGCGATGACAGTCGTCGAAACACCTTCCATCGTAGCTACTGGGTGGGCGGGGATAGGGATCCTGGGCAGCAACTGCAGCTGCCGCTGCACAGCAATCCGGGATTTGTGTCGTGTAAGTTTCATAGGGACATTTTTCTGATATAATCCCAGTCCGGGCCGCCTGCTGATGTACCCTTTCTTGGGGCCCGGTTCCATAATTTGACCCGTGATGCATAATTCGTCCTCCGCGCCCCCAAACACACCCCCTTTGATCTCATTCACAATATCACTGCATATTTAAATATATATGTGTACATTATATGTGGCGGAGAAATCACGAAACCACGTCACACGTCCCGACGATAAATCGTACGCTAACTTTGTCTCTGTTGGATGAAAGTCACAGTCCTCGAATTCGTCCATCCTTACACCGTGCTTGAGGAAAATGGCCTCGAGCAACTTCTGGCTCCTGTGGTGGCACCCCCGGGGTCAAAAAATATATTCGCTTTAGGTCGTGTATGCTTGGATCGTTATTTGAGTCTTTTCACCATTTTCTACTTCCAATTTTCAATTCTTTGTCGATTCTTACATTCAAGATAATTTTTTCTTGATTCTCCATTTGATTTCCCCCTTTTTTTTTTATTTTCTGCTTTTCCGAAAAAAAGAAAGATAGGTTCAAATAATAGTTTTGTTAAAAAGAAAATCTTATTTCAAGATAATTCTCGAGAGTCGGAAATAAATTATAGTCAATTTTTCAAGGAATTTTTTTTTTTTCAGATAAATAACATTTTTTGTATTAGATTAGTGTTGATTTCTGTTTAATTCCCAGTTGAAAAAAATTCTATAAAATAAATTCTAGTGAAAACTCTAAAATTTCTACATGATTTCCCAAAAAAAACCTTTTATAGAAAAATAATATTTATCCGAATTGGAAAATTATGGACTGATAAATAATTTTATTTTAATTATGCGAAAGGTGGAAGAAATATTTATTAATAATTTCACGAAATCATCATAATTGTATTTACAAACTTCATTTATTTATTTTATTTATTTACTTATTTATAATACATTGAAAAAAATGTTCAATTAATCGGTTATTTGACAATTATTAAATATTTACTTGGACCAAATAATTTTTATTTAAATTAAATAATAACTGTATTTGAACGAATAATTTCTGTATTTAAATTAAATTTTATTTAATTGATTCAAATAATAATTAAATAAATATTTATTTTATAAGTAAAGTAACCGATTAATTGAATCAAATAAATTTTTTTTCAGTATATTATGTATAATAAAAAATATACAGGGTGATTTTTATGTTCCGGACCGCATAAATTTTTTTTCAATTCCTCTTTAAAAAAAAAAAAAAACGAAAAAAATGAGATTAAAAAAATTTTAGGAGATCCGGAACATAAAAATCACCCTTTATAAATAAAATATAAATAACAATAATAAATATAAAAATTAAAAACAAATCATAAAATTTAGAAGTGATTCCTCAAAAATAAACGTTTTTTTTTTCTATTAATTAGGGAAAATATTATTTAAATACTCTCTAAATGTGAATTAGTAAAAATGTTTACTAATTTGAATTAGTGACTCACTTTTTGCTTCTAAATTAGTAAAATTTAACTAATTATTAGTAACTTTTACTAAAAATTAGTAACATTGAACTAATTATTAGTAACTTTTACTAACAATTAGTAAAATTTAACTAATTATTAGTAACTTTTACTAAAAATTAGTAAAATTTATCTAATTATTAGTAACTTTTACTAAAAATTAGTAAAATTTAACTAATTATTAGTAACTTTTACTAAAAATTAGTAAAATTTAACTAATTATTAGTAACTTTTACTAACAATTAGTAAAATTTAACTAATTCAGAAGCAAAAAGTGAGTCACTAATTCAAATTAGTAAACATTTTTACTAATTCATAGAGAGTAAATAAATTATTAAACGAAAAAAATAAAAATGAATAATTTTATGAATATAATTATTATTTTATTTTTACTTTATTTACTGAATTTTTATGGAATTCTAGATTAGAATTTCAAATAGATTTAGAATCGTTCTAGAGAAATTGTTATATAGAACTTTTCCAATTGGGATTATATTTAATTCTGTCATTGTGAATCGGAACAAAAGATGTATTAAAAAAAAACTCACTTATTGTTAGCTCGTTTAAAAAAGATTTTGTTTAATAAAAGTAGAAAATATTAGAAAAAATTCTCGAAACTCATATATACATAGTTTAAAAAACATATTTCTATATATGATTTCTACAAGATATATACGATCATAAAATGCTTTCTTTGCAAGAAAGTTTCCTTCATTTAATAACATTTTTCTGATTTGGTAAAATAGTTTCCGTTGAAAGGAATGTCTTTTGAATACAAAATATGAAAATATAAATTGATATAAAATTTAAATAGAAACGATTCCTTTTATTGAAATATTTTTTTTTTTGCTGATTAGACAAAATTTTCGTACATGGAATAACAAAATTTTTCGTATATTTTTTTTTGTCAAATATTGATAATTTCTATATTAAAAGTAATTGCTAAATCAATTTATTTGTACATACTTGAATTTCTGGTTTATTTCAAAAAATTAGAATGAAAAAATTGATTCTAAAATTTTCACGAGAATCAAATGGCATTGAATGCTAATTCCCTAGGCATATTCAGGCATATGTAGAGGAAAACTAATTTCTGTTTGTCTATGTAATAGTGAAGTAGATGGTGAATACATCCAATAATCCATTCATCAGTAACCATTTATGCATCCATCCATAACAAAGCCATTTCTCCAGGGTGATATTTCCTTATTTCTAATGGTGCTGAACTAATTCACATAGTATACTCGAATTATTTACTATATATATTCAAATATTATATATTTACCTGTAAACAAATATATATATTCTTCCAATATTTACTTAATAAAATTTGATTTAAAATTCAAATATCATATATTGTTCCTGAGCTTCCAAAATATAATATACTGAATGGGTAATTATATCAAAAGTTTTCGTATATTTGAAAGGGAGAGAGTGCGCACAAAGTTGTACAGGGGAGTTTTCAGTCGACATGAGAATTTCACGACATTTGCATAGAAGATAGCCCCCCCTACTGCATGTGTACACCTGAATACATATATATGTTATCCTCTTATTAATGTCCTCGTATTACTACAGTCACACGAGTTGCATTAGTTACGATTAAGTGGACATATCTTATTTGCGTTTATGTTTGTTGTCCGTGTTTCACCAAAAGCATATTATTTATGTACATAAGTAGTTGTGAAAAGCATATATAGAAGATTTATTTTTCTCCCATTAAGATCAATAGAGTCATCATTCTTTTGCATGCTCCCAACAAATGGTTTAGGATTTCAAGAATGACATTAAAATATTTTCCAATAGGGTGAGAGACACAAATAGACATATATATATGAATCTCCTCTAGAATTGTGTGTGGACAAATTCGATGGTAGCCATAAAAGGGCTTAGAATAATTCATGTGAAGTGCACCCTCTCTCTCTGTCCCTTCAGATTCTTCATGATGCTCTTTGGGATTTGGGGATGACTACTTTCATTTTTTTTTTTTTTTCTTCTCTCAGATTCTTCTCAGTACTCTCGATTTTATGATTTTGATTTTATGGGCACTTTGAATTTTTATTATTCTTTTTATGGGTACCTTTAAATTATTATTGAATTTATTATTGAATTTTAGATAAAAGTTGCTTTAATCCCAATTGATATAATTTATAAAAAGAAAAAGCAATAAAAGGGAGAATTCAATTGTTTAGGAAATATTTATACAAAAAAAAGAAATTCAGATTTAGAAAGTTTTTCTCTCTCTTTTTTTTTGTTTTCTCCACCCCCCCTCGCAAGCTTTATCTGCTTTTGGAAATGCTTTAACTCGTCCCTTTTCTTTTCAGCTCAATTCTCCAAGCCTCCCATCTCGTTCTCGTTCACTTCCGATCTCGCGTACGTGTCCTTATTCAGCCCACTTTCTTCTTCCTTCTCTTTGCTAAGGAGGAATCTCCTTCCTCCTTAGTACTTCAAGACCAAAGCTTTTCCGGGCTTTCAATGATCAGGTAGAGAGACTCGTCAGTGCGATTTTTCCAGCTGTCTGTGCTGTTTTATTCATTCGACGATCTCGCCAAAAAAGTTGTGAGGATATTTTAGGAATATATTTCCTTTTATCGTTTATATTGTTAGAAAATAGTTTATTTTTTTATTTGCAAACTGCTTTGTTAGAATAAATAATTAATTGAATTTTTTAGTTCTTTTTTTTTGAAATTTCGTTAAATTTCTCTTTATTCTGAAACGAATTTATCCACTTGTGCAAAGTAAGTTGTCATCGATTCAAGGCTTGTCTAGAATTCCAAGATCCAATCCTACAAGAGAATCTTTCACGGACAGACGTCCTTTAGTGGATATAAATTCTTCCTTTGGAATAGACGTATTGAACTTGCGTGAAGAAGCTATCGATTGATTTTATAGTCACTCTGTCTATCAAGCTCAAGTGTCTTTTCAAGACCCTCTTTTCTTACTTTACTCGCTTGTCTTATCTTTTCCTCCTTTTTTTTTCTTTTTTTCTTCTTGTATCGTTTTTCCAAGACAATTTACACTCTTTTCTCCTATACACCAACTCTCGAGTATTCACCCTCCATAATATAAGGTTTCGGAGTTTAACCTCTTGGCCAAGCCCTGGTTATAGCAAAAGAACTCTTGTTCTACATTGATTGTTATTCCCACTGAATTTCTCAAAAATAAAATAAAATTCAATCATAATATTGAAGTGGAATATATACGTTTTTATTTTTTTGCTCTTCCTTTGTTTGAACAATAATACAGTTTGTGTGTGGTCTTTATACAGATGGATTATATTTCATTGAAACTTGCTAATGGGTTTTTCTTTTCATTTTTTTATCTCTTTTATCCCTTAAATGTAAATATCAAATGTACAATTCGAATGATTTATGAATGAAAAAAATTAACCATTAATAAAAGAATAAACATGTTTGTAGCGATAAAATCTAGAGTAGGGAAAAGAGAAATTTCAACAACTTTGAAAAAAAAAAAATGATGAGCAGACTTTTTTTTATACAGAGGCTAGAGAGGTGATATTTCTCAAAAGTTGTGAATGCAAAATTCGTAACTCGTTAAGAGAGAGAGAGAGAGAGAGAGAGATCAGAAAAATCGCGAGTGAATTTCAAACTCGCGTTACTCTTCGCGGAGCCGCATTGCCGCAAAAGAAAAATGTGAATACATTAAACGATAATAAAACAGAATTCAATAAAAAAAAAAAGAATATCACTTTGAAACTTTGATCCAAGATCTTTCAGACGTATAAATAGGAGTTATATATGATTCTCGTTTGTTCCCTCCTTCTTATAAATTACTTTAAAACTTCATTTGAAAATCTTTTTTTTGAAAAATAATAATTTAAATTTCAATACTGATTGATCTCTCTAAATTATTCAATTTTTAAGAAATTAAATTGATTTCATCTTTTTATGAAATCAATTTCTTTTTTGATAATTTGATACAAAAAGAGATTTTGGGAAAGATTTTTTTTCTGTACTGACAAACGATCAGAGTCAACCGCACAACAAACCCTTCGGGCTCCCTATTCAATCTTATATGGAATTCATAAGAACACGGAACAATTTTTTTTTTTCCTCATTGTAATCACAAACACATATATACACAATCTTCGAGACTAGTTCAGAGAATCAAAATACCGAGATAAAAAAAAAGTATTTAACGCTAAAAAAAAATTTCATAGAAAAAAATTTATTTATTATAATTAAATTATTTAATGAGAATCTAATTAATTAATAATCAAGTTGGATTTCATTTTCCATGTTTGTTAAAGTGACTCAAATTTCAGTAACTTTACATTATTATTAAATACAAATTTATAACGTATAGATTACATAATAAAATATTTACTATTCACATTATATGTAATTAATAAAACAATGAAATGATATTTTCCCATTATATGAGCTTTTAATCAATATAATAAAATAATTGAATTAAATTTCTGCATGAATTTTTTTTATTTGTACTTTTTTAACAATTGATATTGTTTTAATAAGTTAAACCTATATCAAAAACTAATTGATTCGAATAATCTGCAGTGAGAGGAAAATGTCGTTATTTTGAAAATAAAATTGTTTAAAAATTTAATCAAGTATGACGAAATATTTTTTTTTATTATTCAATTTAAATTATAAAAAATATTCGGAATTTAGATTTTAAAAGGTCAGTTTAAATTTTAAATATTTTTTCGATGTATATATTTAAAAATAAACTTATTTTTATATTTTTTTATCTTAATCTAATTGATAATTATTATCTAGTGTTGACAAACTGACAATTTTCAAAAAATGGTAAAAAAAAATTACTTTTAAAAACAAAATACTTTAGAAAAAGAAAAATAAATTTTTTCTGAAAATTAACTTTCAATTTTACAACTTCTTTCTTATTGAGTGAAACACGCTGTGGGTAACAAAATCGTTATAGAATTTCCACATGGAATATTTTGAAATGTAGTGTCATTCGACAATATTGCAAGGCAGAATTACGATCTCCTCGCGGCTATTGGACACGTTTGATAGAAATGTATAGACTCGTTCTTGAACTGGAAACTCGTTTCTGCTGAGTCAAGTTGAAATAAAAAAAAAAAAAAATAAATAAAGAAGCAATCATCTGATTTTATTTTTGTTTACAAAAGTTTATTTAAACTTATATTTTCAATTATAAATCAATTTAAAATTTTAATTTTTTTTTAATTCACGAAATTAGTTTTAAAAATAATTAATTTTTAAATTAAAATTAAAGAAAAAAAAAAAGAAAAGAAAAAAGTGTGGAATAATTTAAATTCCCACTTTACTTAAAATGTTCCGCTTGACTGACTTAAATTCTACAAGATTTTCAATTTGGTAAATTGAAAGTAGAGTTTCGCATCTCTTAAGGCTATCATCGCCTACCCCATGACCTCTTCGTCATCTTCCGTATTTGGATTCTGATTGGAGAACTTATATTAAACTTAGAATTTACAATTAATTAATTCCATTCAAATCAGCATATAAAACAATTAAAGCAATAAAATTGATTTTTTACCTCTATAAAAATTGTAAAAAAAAAGTAAACAAATACAAATAGGAAAAATTTTTGATGCAGCAGCTGTTTCAATTGAAAAATTTCTATGTTCAGTTAACTTCATTCATATAAAAACTAATGGTAAATTTTTCGTTTTTGAATAACTGCTGCAGAATATTTTTTTATTTAGTAACAATTTAGATATTCAACAATTGACAAATTGGTAACAATAATGTTTATACTGTAATAAAAAATGTTTGTTTACTAAAAAAAAAAAAAATTAAGTTCAATAGAAATTGAACTTTGAACCATTGGTTAATTATCATCTATTCTCCATTCTCTAACCTACATTTTCGAAACAATGATGGTCTACACGTTGAAACTATTTCAATTGTTCCCAAATTAATTTCCTCGTTCAGGTCTGAACTAAAGGATACAACAGACCCCCAATCGGAAAGGCAATTAGATCTCAAAATCGTTCCAATACAATAAATGCCATCAGCATAAAAAACAAACCCTTTGTTTGTAATGATTCCTCCATTAAAAAAAGGCCTCCATTCTTTTTATCATTAATCCTAATTTTCTCAATCAGAAAATATCAAGATTTCTTTTTTTTTTGTATACCAAAAATGCTGCATAATCCTCTGTGTTTTTTTTTTCTATGAAGAACAAATTTTTTTTTTTTTAACACTTATTTCCATATTCACAATGACAGAAAAATAAAATTAGTATAATTTTTTCAAAAAAAAAAAAAAATTAAAAACAATTTATTTGTGAAAAATATTTTATAACTTACGTAATTATTTGTGGGAAATTAATTTTAGAAATTAAAAAAAAAAATTATATTTTAAAAAAAATTTTTTTTTTTTGTTGATATACGAAAAAGCCGGATATATATCACAGGGTTTTGTTATATACACACTGTATTTTCTTTTTCGCGACTGAATATGTGCAGTCGGCAACCGCCGCGACACGACTGGGGTCTGCTGCCCGGCCGGGAAGCTGCCATGGCAACCCGACAAGCCCCGAAAACTCCCCTAACCTCAGTGTTCGGCTCGCTCCACCCCCTCCGCAGAAAAGCACGCGCAAGCTCCGGATTCCGCGAGGAAAAGTCGCAGAAAGCTCGTGGCCACCCGGAAGTTCTCCCCGTCTGTCCATTCGTCCGTCCGTCCGTCCGGCTGAACTTTCTTCCTCCCCTTTCTCTCATCATCGTTTTGTCCTGCATCCACTTTTGCTCCCTTTCTCATCTCACTCATTCTCTCTCAGATTTTCCGCCAAATCCGTCAAAAAAAAAAAAACCCCTTTTTTTCATTTAATTAAGTACATTTTTTAAACTACATTAAATTATATAATTTTTATTTTAGTTATCACAAATAAAAAAAAATTTCAGTGATATGTTTCACTGAAACAGAGAAAGTTTTCACTATTCTAGAGAAACATATCGCTGTTATAGATAAAACTTTTTATTCCATGTAATTATTCTAATCGAATTTTTAAATGACTGAAATTTCAATTCAACGAATTTTTATTTTGTTCTAATTTTAATATGAATTTTTTATTTTTTCTTTAACTTTCATTTGTCCGAAATTACAATTGCCCGAACAAAAAATCAACTGAAAGATTTGGGTGCAATTTTTAAAATTGAATAACGATTTTCTTGATATAATTTCTAATTGGTCAATTTTTAAAATTACGCCAAATTCTTTTTGTCAATTTTTTGTTCGGACAATTGTAATTTCGGAAATGTAAAAGTTCGGCGTCTAAAAAAATTCGGACAAATTAAAATTCATTGAATTAAAATTTCGGTCATTTAAAAATTCGAATCACATGAAAATTCCATAAAATGAAAATTCTGCTAAATTAAAATTTTCATAAATAAAAACTCATGTGAATTAAATTCAAATTAAAACAAAAATTCGGTAACTAAAAATTTTGTTACCCTAAAATTCGTATAGAATTCGTAGAAATTCTGTCAAATGCTATAGATAAAATTTTTTATTCCATGTAATTATTCTAATCGAATTTTTAAATGACTGAAATTTCAATTCAACGAATTTTTATTTTGTTCTAATTTTAATATGAATTTTTTATTTATACGAATTTTTAACTTTCATTTATTCGAAATTACAATTGCCCGAACAAAAAATCGACTGAAAGATTTGGACGCAATTTTTAAAATTGAATAACGATTTTCTTGATATAATTTCTAATTGGTTAATTTTTAAAATTACGCCAAATTCTTTTTGTCGATTTTTTGTTCGGACAATTGTAATATCGAAAATGTAAAAGTTCGGCGTCTAAAAAATGCGGACAAATTGAAATTCATTGAATTAAAATTTCGGTCATTTAAAAATTTGAATCACATGAAAATTCGATTAAATGAAAATTCTGCTAAATTAAAATTTTCATAAATCATCATGTGAATTAAATTCAAATTAAAACAAAAATTCGGTAACTAAAAATTTTGTTACACAAAAATTGGTATAGAATTCGTAGAAATTCTGTCAAATGCTAATTTGAAAATAAAATTTGGTCGAAAAATATGTATAATTATTTCTAATAAAATATCTACTTAAAAATTGTAATTAATGATTTTTATGGGAAATTCATGAGCGCACTTTTTAAAATAAAAAAACTAATTAAAAAAGTTTTTAAAAAAATAGATAATTAGCGAATTATTAAAGGATTTTATAATTAAATCCTCTAGTGATATTTCTATATAATTTTAAAAGTAACAACTTATTTCAACACCCCCCTTGCGCTTTGTGCTCTTTATTTTTATTCAGTATAGGTTCAAAGCTGTTGATGTAGAGCATTATAAATATTTTATCATGTTACAAGGCACTGCACTGCAGTATATACACGCAGAAAGCTTGAGTCCCCGGTGAATTCATTTTTTTTTACAAGCATAGCACATGATACGATTAAGTCACTCATTAAATGAAAATACTTTTTGTGAATTAATAATCAAAGAAATATAAATTAAAATCTCTCAGTTATATATATATTTTACAATTTCAATAAATTATAGATGGAGTTTATAATTATTATAATATATATATATATATATATATATATATATATATATATATATATATATATATATATATATTTTAATATTATAATAAATTTTTATAAATTTCTTATTCACATTTATTTATATTTATATATTAAAATAATAGAATCAAGTTGACCTAGATAGAGTAAATTTAAATGCAGAACAAATTTAATGCATATTCATTATATATTTAAACGTCACAATGGAATTAAATATATTTTATTAATATTATATTTAAAAATCTCTCTCAAGTAAAATTTTACTTATTTAAAATTATCACTAAAATTTAAGTAATTTTAAAGTTACTTTCGCGAGATAAGATATTTAATTTTTAGTCTTTGTCAAAAAAAAAAAATGCAGAAAAAAATTTTTCTAATTAAAAATATAAAATAAATAAAAAAAAAAAAACATGAAATAAGAGGAAATGATAGTCGATAGCGATATCGGGAAAAAATATTTTTTAGTTAAAGGAAAAACATTGGAAATTTGTAATTCTTTAGCTTTCGATGAAAGTTGTAATTCCTTTGGTTCTTAAGTGTAATAGTGTAAAAAAAAAGTCTATTACAAATTGCGAACCAGAATGTTCAACGACACAAGATTTACGATTAGTTCTTTTCAGACGTGAAAAAATATCCCATTACTGTTCGTCTTTATAAAATACAGCTCTATGCCTCGGAAACTCGGAGTGTTTCCATACTCTTCTTTTCCACAAGAGTCTTTTTCAAAAACTTTCGAATCACTTTCAACAAAGTTTTAACAATAATCCTTGGGATCAGTAAATTCATATTTCTTTTTTTTTTTGCTCGCCAAAAAATATATGTATTTCTCTGTATACTCTAAATTTGTAATGTATAATTAATTTTTCTTTTTCCAACCGAAAAATTTCTGAATCAGCCTCTCTAAATCTGAATCAGTGGAAATTTTACTAATTCAATGAGTACTTTTCATTTTAACTGAAGTTTCAGTTATTTTTTGAAATTTACTAATTATAATTAGTGAATATGCAAGCAATAGAAAATAACTTATGTAAATCAGTAATTTGTATATAACATAACCTTTAAAATTAACTATTAAATCAGTAGATTTTGTGGCCGCCGTCATATATTTATATTACTGATTCAATCAGAAATTGATATTTTACTAATTGAATCAGTAAATTTCTACTAATTGTCAGTTGCTCAATTCTCGCTATGGCAATTAGTAGATTTCTACTCCTAATCAGTAAAATATGACTGATTCAGATTCCCAGGTGGAAAAGTAGTGACTACCGGTAGTCATTACCGCTCCCGCTACCGGAATATTCACTACCGGTAATTTTTCCTAGACTACCAATAGCCACTAACGGTAGGCACTACCGGTAATTTTTCCGGGACTACCGGTAGCCACTACCGATAATTTTTCCGGAACTACCGGTAGTCACTACCGGTAATTCTTCCGGTATTTCCGGTAGTTACTACCGGTAGCCACTACCGGTAATTTTTCCGGAACTAACGGTAGTCACTACCGGTAATTCTTCCGGTACTTCCGGTAGTTACTACCGGTAGCCACTACCGGTAAATTTTCCGGGACTACCGGTAGCCACTACCAGTAATTTTTCCGGGACTACCGGTAATTCTTCCAGTACTACCTGTAGGCACTACCGGTAATTTTTTCGGGACTACCGGTAGCCACTACCGGTAATTTTTCCAGAACTAACGGAAGTCACTACCGGTAGCCACTACCGGTAATTTTTTCGTTACTACCGGTAGGCACTACCGGTAATTTTTCCGGGACTACCGGTAGTTATTACCGGTAATTTTTCCGCTACTACCGGTAGTCACTACCGGTAATTCTTCCGGTACTTCCGGTAGTTACTACCGGTAGCCACTACCGGTAATTTTTTCGTTACTACCGGTAATTTTTCCGGTACTACCGGTAGGCACTACCGGTAATTTTTCCGGGACTACCGGTAGTTATTACCGGTAATTTTACGGCTACTACCGGTAGTCACTACCGGTAATTCTTCCGGTACTTCCGGTAGTTACTACCGGTAGCCACTACCGGTAATTTTTTCGTTACTACCGGTAATTTTTCCGGTACTATCGGTAGTCACTACCGGTAATTTTTTTGTTACTACTGGTAGTCACTATCGGTAATTTTTCCGGTACTACCGGTAGTTACTACCGGTAATTTTTTCGTTACTACCGGCAGGCACTACCGGTAATTTTTCCGGGACTACCGGTAGCCACTACCGATAATTTTTCCGGAACTACCGGTAGTCACTACCGGTAATTCTTCCGGTATTTCCGGTAGTTACTACCGGTAGCCACTACCGGTAATTTTTCCGGAACTAACGGTAGTCACTACCGGTAATTCTTCCGGTACTTCCGGTAGTTACTACCGGTAGCCACTACCGGTAATTTTTCCGGGACTACCGGTAGCCACTACCAGTAATTTTTCCGGGACTACCGGTAGTCACTACCGGTAATTCTTCCGGTACTTCCGGTAGTTACTACCGGTAGCCACTACCGGTAATTTTTTCGTTACTACCGGTAATTTTTCCGGTACTATCGGTAGTCACTACCGGTAATTTTTTTGTTACTACTGGTAGTCACTATCGGTAATTTTTCCGGTACTACCGGTAGTTACTACCGGTAATTTTTTCGTTACTACCGGTAGGCACTACCGGTAATTTTTCCGGGACTACCGGTAGTTATTACCGGTAATTTTTCCGCTACTACCGGTAGTCACTACCGGTAATTCTTCCGGTACTTCCGGTAGTTACTACCGGTAGCCACTACCGGTAATTTTTTCGTTACTACCGGTAATTTTTCCGGTACTATCGGTAGTCACTACCGGTAATTTTTTTGTTACTACTGGTAGTCACTATCGGTAATTTTTCCGGTACTACCGGTAGTTACTACCGGTAATTTTTTCGTTACTACCGGTAGTCATTACCGGTAATT